TACATATTGGTAAATACGGCATCTAAGTAAAAGATCTTGTATTTCTTTCTGTAGTTTCGGGCTACACTTCATGAGATAATTGAGGCTTTTTCCGTAGATGTTGGCGGGGAAGCATTACAAACTGCACGAAGTTTGCTAGTTGTAGACTCCTCTCGATGCACCATGATGTGGCAGGTAACATATAGGCTCTTTGCGTTCCTTGCATTCTATCATATGCCCTAAATCTTCGTATTCGTGCATAAATTTTTGATAGCTGTCACGCAGATGTGGATTGCTCATAAGACGTGATTCAAGCTGTTTAAATTGTGCTGCTGCCCGGGCTTTAGATTGGCCGAGCTCATTTTTAAAGGCTGTCGAACTTCGTATTTTCCATTATGCCAACGCCTTATGATGTTGACGTATAGTTCTTCGCAAAACTGCTCTTCTCTAGTCATAGCGATTGAGTCATTCGCTATTTCTTCCAACTCCCAATAAGCAGCGATATCTTCAATGTAATTGACCATTACGCTGCGTTGAAGCACTCTAATTTTGTCTGTTGAGCGATTGGCTGATTTTCTGATCCTTTGGTCAACCTACTCAATATTATTCTGGAGTAAATGTGAGCACCTAGCAAAATAAAACGTCATAGCTAGAATCAGCGACCTGTTTATGTTCGTTATTATTATTATTATTATTTAATTTTAGGAAGACCAACGGCTATCTTACATAACATAAACTTAAATAAAAACGGAGAGCCAATTATAGGTCCTCACCGGTAGATACATATTAAGTTAATTAAAGAGCTATAAATTATAACTAATAATTATACTATATAGGTAATGACATAATCGCACACACAACAATTAGCTACTCGCCAAAATACAAACCACTAATAAGACGCTTCACCGATGCAACACTAGTGTTAAAAAGATCAATATCAACCTGCTTGGACAATACACTAAAACTATTACTCGCACGCAGGAGATATGCATTCCGCCGAAAGTTTGAAGAGGCCAGAGGTACGCACAGAGGTGAATTCAACCTAAGGGTCTTTGCAGGGGCTCTAAGAGAAATCTTGGATACGAGTTCCGGGGAGTCAATGGCACCAGAAGCAATTTTTTTCAAAAACACTAAATCAGCAATTTGACGCCGCATCTCCAGTGGCAAAAGATGATGTTTCTTGCATATATTCAGATACTGATTTGACTCGTATCGCTCCCCAGTTCGGAAACATAAAAACTTAATAAATCTTTTTTGTACATTTTCAATTCTTGATATATAGGTAAGGTATTGGGGATTCCAGACCTGCGATGCATATTCCAGGTGGCTGCGGACAAATGAGCAATATAAAATTTTTAGTGTTTTAGCCTGCCTGAAATCCCTGGAGTTACGCATCACAAATCCGACAGCTTTGGAGGCTTTTGAAATAATAGTGTCGACATGCGAAGCAAATAATAACTTATTATCATGAAGCACTCCCAGATCCCTTACCACAATATCACGTTGTAATTCAGTACCTCTCAAAGAATAATTAAAATGCACTAAGTTACTTTTGCGGCTAAAAGTGACGAGGCTGCACTTAAATGGATTAAGGTCGAGATGGTTATCGGCACAGTAAGTGTCGAGCCTCATTAGGTCTTCTTGAAGCAGGATTGCGTCAGACACTGAAGAAATAGGCGCTATAATTTTCATATCATCCGCAAAGCACAAAAGTTGTGATGATTTAAAACATAGCTCGATGTTGTTTACAAAAATCGCGAACAGGAGAGGCGCGAGCAAAGATCCCTGAGGAATTCTGAAGTTATGATGATAATTGTTTTTAAATGCTGAACGAGATAAAACTATAATTGTCTTGAATCGACTTGCCGAATCGCCCGCTCCTAATCTGATGGGTTCGCTTGTTGACGGTGTGGGCCGAGGCGCCGAGCGGCATTTCCAGTTATAAGGGTGGCTTGGGAACCCACATTTTGGGAAAATACTTTCATTTCCTATGTGGTTACACAATCGTGAAAACCTAAGAACTCGAAATGTCAATATTATTTATTTGGCGTAGCAATTAATTGGAGTTCTGCTCACACTTCAACTCGTCTGCTGTTAGATTCACACGTGCCCCTTCCGTGTTGGGAAAGTAATTCATAAGCGGATTGCGTATTGTGTCATAAAGATTTTTTGTGTAATTATAGTAATCATGTGTTTTTTTCATATTCAGAGCATGAACGTTAGGCATTGTTGCTGTCAAATTTTGTCCATAAACTGTCAAGTGCGATTATCCTTTTTTTGTGGGCGATCTTTCGTCTTTCTCGAGGACGAATCCTTATTAAAATTCCTATGAATCGTCCTGATAGATTCTGTTATCTCCTTCTGACGAGCAAGAAGTTCGACCTTAGTTGCACTGGGTGCGTACTCCCAACGATAATGTCAATAAAATGCAGATTAAATCTTGTAAAATCACTGAATGCACCACCACTTGTTGTGACGGTATGCAACGAACGTCTTTTCGTTCTTACCACTGCTGTTACGGTGATGTCATTTTTTTGGTTTCCAAAGTTTAAGCCATTGCACAATTGCCAAGCACTCACAAATGTCAATCACCGTTCTGTATAAAATGTTTAGAGGATGGAAAAATTAATGTATGTCAAAATTGTCAAGAACTCATATGCCGATTTCCTTTGAGTGCGGTTTTGCACTTTTCGCACGATCGTTGACGTCTCGTCTCAGCTTAACTGGCGAGACCCGCCTGTGGGAGGCCAGCCAGGTCGACGCGCGAATCGTACTCTGAGGTACAAAACTCACCAAAGAATCAGCATTCGAAGGACGAACATACGGATCCAGCTCGAAGGACCAACATGTACGATCTATTTGTCTCGTACAGTAATACGTCAGAATATGTGATAGGTGATACTAGCATAATTACTGTGGACAGCTCGGACATAGAGTTAAAACTTGCTTCAAATCGAACTCAGATGGGAGACGGCCTAAATCGAAACCTACCGACTCAGAATGCATCGAATATCAGCTTGAATTTGATGGCACTTGACAGTATAACACAGCACACAAGGCCAGCGAAAACTGATACGTTGACAATGGTGCAACTAGTCACGTAACTAATAGAAGTAACCTGTTTAAGACCTTTAAGTACTTTAGGTGCTCATACTGTAACAACTGCCAACGGCACAGCGGTTCATGCAATTGATAAAGGAAATTTTGAAATAGAGGCTGACTTACGTGTGACAAAGGAACTAATAAATCTATGTGGAAGTTTATAATTTGCATGTAACAATTTAGTTTTAATAATTACATTTCGTAATAATAAGGAGCTTACAGCTTTCTAAATATAATAATAAATGCATAAATAGTCTTCACCCAGGCAAAATACAGTAAAACTAATTGACTTCATCGTGTGGAGACACCTTAAAAAAGCTTACTTTAGTTGAATACTCGTATTAACTTAACAGTTAAAACGAAGTTTATCAGTGTTTAAATAACAACGTGTTTGTTTACAAGTCAGTTAAATTCGTATAAGCGGCCGAGGCGCGGCGCTGGCAGCGAGCCATGCATCGCCACCGGATCGCGGTCACACATCAAAACATACGGATTTCTCGGGAAAAATAACGTACACGCGTCTTCGTCGCGCGCCGCACACGCCGCCGCCGTGCACTCTACATTCACGTTATTGCCTCAGTTTAAATCATTTATTTACCCGCTACGTGCGGTCCGTAATACTTTGCAACCATAAACCGTATTTTATTATCTGCAAGATTTTATCCTGAGCTGGCCGCGATCTACATGTGACGTGAGATTGCTTAAAAGTGAGCGTGTTGCGCGCAGTCGCGTGCGCGTCGCTGCTGACCTTGTGCTGATGCACCGGGACGTGCGTGACTCGACAGAATTTCGGCACGATGTTGTCGCCTCAACACGGAAATTGTATCACTGCTAAGTAGGTAAGTACTTACCTATAACCTGGAAACTCTGGCAATGTGGATAAAGAAGTATCTACCCAGCGGAGAGTCTGTCCTTCTGAATCTTTTCAAATCAAATGCCGTGCGTATTTCACGTAATTTACATGCTGTGTCCTGTCTGGATACATGTCGGAGAATAAATCTCTTTGAGGACATTCAACAGCAACCATTTAATTATATCTTAAACTCTCTGCCCAACTCATAAGAATCGCGCCGAAACCCATTCCAATACCATACACCCTATACCCACTATACACCTACTCAGTTAAACACGCACCTTATATACACTCATTCATCTTCACTCTTTACATATCGTGAGATTATGGAGTTGTCTTAGAGGTTCTCTTTACTTAGTTTAGTACCTACTAGTTTTATAATAAAACTAGAAATATTAAAGTGTTTTCTCTTGTGCCACAACCTTATTGCTCATCTGCAGAGTGGGAGCCTGGTGACCTATAATACAGTTTGTGTTTTTTGAAGCCTACATCGGTCATCAGTCTTTCACAAAGCGGCTTGCTTGATTTTGGTATAATCTACAAGTCCCTGTACTCCATAGTCTGTTCGTGACAAGAAAAATAAAACAACATTTCATTTCCCTATTTAGGCAAGACCCGTCCCTGGCAGTGCAACGTTTCTGTACAGGTTGATAAACGGTTTGTTACAAATAATTTTGTCGTGGCCTTCCCTCGAAATCAATACGCACCTGTATATTAAGGGTATAGCAAATAAGTGATTATACTTACATTGCAAATTGTTCATCAGTTTATTACTGGACCACCCTGTCCAGGGCTTAAATGGACGCCGTGTTTCCTGCAGCGGCGTCGGCTTTGTGCCGCGGGCGGCGCGCGCGCAAGGCCGCGCCGCGCACGCGCCACCGCACGGCGCCCGTCACCTTCGCCGAAATCAAGGTGCGACGAGCCACGTCTAAATATACACTCTGTGCCAAGTTTTATTGTTGGACGTCATGTACATATGCAGCGTACAAAATTGTTTAATTATAATAGTGACCGTGACTTGACTGTTAGTAGAGTGTAACTAGCTGCCACCTCAAGCAGTTAGATCTCGTATGCTCTCTACACTCGGTTGACCTCACGGCCATTGAATTCGGAATTAACTCGAGTAGTTACGTATTTTGAAATCGTAGTAGGTTAGGTTAGAAGGAGAAAGAAAGCCACAACGGTTAAGAATGAATGTTAAAAACTTCCTATCGTATCGATGGCATATCTACACTTTGGCGCATGGCGGTGAAAGGATTCGCCAATCGGCGTACGGTACCGTAAAAAACTAAACGAAACAGAAATGTTAAAATCTTTTTCCGAATACAAGTAATAAAGAATCCGACCTTTTAAATAATGTAAACATGTTAATGTTTATTTCTTCCTCAAAAATTTTCTTGTCCATAAGTACCTACGTTGAATTGAAACGTAGTTTTATGAGAATATCTCAGCCGTATTTCGATACTTTTAAGTCGTTCGGAGTCGAGTTAACGCGTTAACTGCGTGAGTATGCATATTCCTACAGTAGAGCTGCCCTTGCATAGGAAGTGGACGAGGAAATTGAAGAGCCAGAGGCGGCGTCGCCGGGTTGCGCGGAGGAACGACGGCGGAGGCCTGACTTGCTGGACGAACGCCTTGGCCGCCAATTTGCCGAATTTCGGCGGCGGCGCGCGCCTAGGGATGTCATCAGGTACGCGTCGTACTCGTAGGGTTCTACACTAAAAAGGCATTCTTTTCGTAATATTATATGGTTTAAAACATAATAAATTTAACTAGTATCCATTTTGTACAGGGAGCCGCCCGAGGAGAGCGCAGGGTGCGACTCCGCGCCCGCACCCGCGCCCCGCCCGCCCGGCGCCGTCGGCGGGCCGAAGTGACAGGAACGATCAGTCTATTGTGTCCGAGTGAACTCAGTGCACTTGGTGATATTCGGAAATTGGTAAACCACTCCAACCACACCACTCAGCCGAAGTTCAATAGGTGCTGTTGAATGAAACCACGCGAGCAAGTCGACTATTGTCATATATTGTACAATATCGTAGTAAATAAGTAACAATTGAGCCGAGGCGGCGCCGCTGGGCGCGCGTCGCCTCTCCACCTCTGCACGGCACGGACACGGGTGACTCGGAGAGGCGCTTTGCAGTGCACCGCATGTCATTCCGTCACTTGGCTACGATGTTCTAGTACGCATACCGCCAATGAAGCTGTAGACTTTTCTTTCAAACGGTTCCCAAATTATTACGTGCCCTTCCCGTCGTCATCAATGTAGGTGACACGCGGTGGTGGACGCCTCTCCGAGACACTGTGTCGATAATATGTTCTTTCGTAACAAAATAATTTATTAATTATATGTTTTATTTGTTATAGTTGAATCACAATTTAAATTTAACGCTTATCACTTAATATTGCGAGTTGACCAATAAAGCAAAATGGCGAAACGCATTGTAGCGTCGTCGATACGATTCAAACGGTCTCATTACACGTACTAGTGAGTATATTTTAATTCTATCACATATGTATATCGGTATGTAAACGATGAACAATAAATATTTGTAAACATAAATAATAATGTTTTATATTATAATTACAAAACGACGTCTAAGTATCTCCTACTTTTTGGCACTCCATTGGAACGGCATACTTTCCCTGAGTATTGTAACGTCACAAAAACTCGTACAAAAGACTAATCAGTACCTATTAAAGACTTTAGTCCACTTACAGGTGTATACATATAAATAATTTATTACGTCATCATAATAGAATATTAAAATAGGCTATGTTTAACAGAATACTGCAATCGCGCCGCACGCTCGAGCGACCACTTTCCCGGGCCTAAGCACCGGCGCTCAGCGCGCGTCGTCGTCGGGCTGCAGCTCGGCCTCGGCCGCCGACGGGATGGTGTGCAGCAGGCGCGGCGGCGGCAGCGCGGGCGGCGAGGGCGCGGGGGGCGCG